AGTGGTCTGCAAGCATTCTACCGCTGCGCCACCGACGCATGATCAATCCTGTAAACACTCAAATCCCTGTAAATCAACGCCTGATATATTTGATATATATTTTACTGGATGGAAAATTAGATACCCTGAGTGATTTAAGTAAGCCGACACGTTGAGCCCCGTATGAAAACAGGATTTTCTGGGATGCAATATCCTGACATCTATGCACGTGATTCATACATAAGTATTGATCTGTCAGTCAACTGCAGCTTCATGTTTACTCTTCAATACTAACTATAAATTGAAGCGAACCAATCATCTAGTAGCAGTCAGTTGAGCATAGTAGTGAAGATTGGCTTGCGGTTTATGATAATCTTTGAAGATGCAGAGATGCAGACTCCCGGGTTGGGGCCCTCGGGACTCTAGGAATCAATGGCTGGAGACAATAGGTGACATGGCTCAAAATCGTTGTCAATGGCCAGCGCAGATGTATTCAGTCTCTGTAATCTTTCATATTCCTTTCTACCATTACCCATTCTGTTTCATCCTTATACTTGTCAGACTGTATTGATTCTCTTCACTCATCTTCTTGTCTACCTCTGTGTGCTATTTAGAAAGTGGCAACTCGAACTGGTGCACTTCGGTGCCAAGTTCTATGTTGAATCCAGACAGAGACAGACAGAATCTTCGAAGAATGAATGAAGTCAAAAATGAAGATTTCTTCTAAAAATATACTATGAAAAATTTTACAAAATGTTTCATGTAAACTGAAATTCTCTGTTTAGGAAACTCAGTAGCTATCCCAAAAAAAAGCTCTTCTAGATTCGTCTTGTTTTTCTTCCAACAAGGTACCATGAATAGAAATAGAGCTAGTTATGTGCTTTGCTCATTTTATTTATGCTCATTGTACTACTTGGTTGTCAGACTGATAAAATTTCTCTTCCTTAAAACGCCAACCATCTTAGGTTGGTCTGACTTGAAAATTAGCTCCTATCTAGTGTCCAATGAAATTATCCATCACAGGCCTACAGGAGATCAATAGCCAGTCCGAATAGCTCAGTGGTAACATCTATGCCTTCAACACTGGCTAACACGGATTTGAATCTTACAAGAGAAATGAATTCATTCAAGATTTCAGATTCGCCTTGATGACGACTGCCAACTAGCACGAAAAAAGACAAGGTAAGAATATTTTGGTCTAAGAAGATCTGGACTTCACGGACAGTGAAAGCTAACAAATTCGCAAACGAAACAAGTTGAGTAGGCAGAACTTTAACTCAACATACAGAATACGAAGGTGATGAAGGTAACCAACCACCAACGATAACAACTACTAACCACTATTTAATTGGTGGATGGTGAATATCAGTGGAATCCAGGATAAAGCGCATTTCGTCCTATTTAGAACTTGTCAGCTGGGCGTACCTACATTCCCCAGTGCGCATCCTGGATTCCACTGCTAGTCACCATCCACCAATTAAATTCTAATTACATTCCCAGACATCGTCGAAGCATCTGCACAAGAAGCCGACATGTCGACCTGAGATCAGCACTTCGTCCAATCAATCGACGGGAAACTGGATTCCATGCTAGCACCATCCACCAATTATCTAATTAATCCCAGACATCGTCGAAGCATCTGCACAAGAAGCCGCATGTCACCTGAGAAAGCACTTCAGTCCAATCAATCGACGGGAAAATCTGAAATTCAATTAAACTCACCACTATTAATAGGAGAAATCTAAGCGAAGTCACTTCTTTTACATATCAAGACAGGATCGTTTCAACCACAGGTAGGCGGCATGGATGAGGATGTCAAAACAGTCAGGATAGGAAAGACAAGACAAACATTTATTACTCTGAAATCAGTGTGGAAATCTACTGTACCCAGTAAACACTAATGTGAAGTCAGTATGTACTTTTATGAGGTTCAGAGGCCTGATGTGCAAATCACCAAAAGCGTTTTTAATAGCATTCAGACTTTTGTCAATAACTGCCTTCACTCTTTACTGAAGACGAGATAGCCGTCCAGGTATGATTACCAACAAGGACCTCTAGAGATGAACCAACCAAGGACCTGTTACCCAACAAGTATGCAGAAGCAAAATGGGGATGAACAGGAGATACACTGGGGAGACAGCTGGGTGACGTCGCTCACCAGACTATCACTTGACTGGGATCTGAATGGGAAGGGACGATTTAAGCATGGCTATGAGTGTGACATAGAAGAGGTCATGTGAAGTAGAGATGAGAGCCTATCGTCAGTCAGGGAGCCAACCAAGAAGGACTGCAGAAAACAAGACAAAATAGAGATGTGCTGTTGAAGACAAGTGTTGCCTCCAACTATTTAGCACCCTTGAACCGTGTTGTCCATATGGTCAATTTTTGTGACAGAAAGTCAACAGTATCTATCCTCTGCCCAGTCACTGACTATTGAGCTAAATAAGGTTGATTCAGATTTCTAAGATTACATAATGTTTCTTGAGTTCTGAGCAGAACACAGCACTTCAGATGAGTCTCATATAGGACTGGTCGGGTAGATGTACCTACAATCCTCAGTGAGTGATGGTCTTGCAACTAATACTCAAAACTAGAATCCATCCAATATGATTCACCAGTGATAAATACAAAGGAGGAATCTTATTTAAATCCGAGTCCAAGAACACAAACTAGCTGTCAGAAAATGATAATACATATATTCTTTCATACAAATACATGTAGACAGCTATGGACTCCAATATAGCTGAGGAAATGTAGAAATGAATCTAAACGAAGAATATTCTTTTCAATAATTAATTTCTCTTCTGGTTCTTATAGTTATAAAAATAATATTTGTTGTCGTTACAATAAAGGCCAGTTATGCGGCGGATACATTTTTTCTTAACGTAGAATAACAGATTAGTACCCATGGGGTGTCAAAATAATTAGTCGTATTTGTGTGACAAACATCGTGCTAGGCTGAAATCGATTACAAAATATTGTAAAACGGGAGACAATGGTGGTGATTAATCATAATAGATTTGTAAGTGTGAGGTAGGAAAATTGACAAGTCAGTTCAAGGTTATAAAAGGTGTCAGGTGAGTGGCTAGTACAAAGTGGTCTGTGTTAAACAGGAGATAGTAAGACTGCAACTAGAGGTTCGGTTCATAATGAAATAACAAATATGTGAAATGAAACGGGTGGAGGCATATATTGACAAAAGAGATAATATCACTAATAATAAGTCCGGATAGTATAAATGGAAAATTCGATAGTGTTGAGAGAATGTTTGAATGAAGGGTATAAATTATAACGAATAACAATAATAATTGTAACAATAAGCAAAGCAATAAACCAAGAAGGATAAGGGGAAAAGACACACTTGGCACGAAGAAGGAAAATTAATCCAAATTTGGCCACAACATGAATAGCATCTGGACGTGTTCTTTTTCGATACAAAGCTCCGGTTTCACGGTCGGTCTTATTTCAACAGCTTCAGCTATGTTTATGAGACGTAAGCGTACTACACGTGATAACGACCTCGGAATTTGGTAGATAACCCTGAAAGCTATATAAGCGTTGGTGCAATATCCAGTACCGACGAATTGTGGCAGAATCGAGCCTTTTATGTATGTAATTCCCCCTTGCTGAACCTATCTGGTAAATGTTGTAGAACTCGTAGACGCAACTGTCTAATCTAATCTGTTATGACTTATCACCACCATTGTCTCCCATTTTACTATATTTGTAATCGATATCAATCCAGCGCGTTTGTCACACAAATACGACTATTTATTTTGACACCCCATGAGTACTAATCTGTTATTCTACGTTAAAAATGTATCCGCCGCATAACTGGCCATTATTGTAACGACAATAAGTATTATATTTTATAGCTGTAAGAACCTGAAGAGAAATTATTGAAGAGAATATTCTTCGTTCAGATTGACTTTTAATTCATGATACGCGAATATTGCACACTATTAAATGTAGAAATTTTAAACAGTGGAAACATCAAAGGTTTCAGGGAATTCCTAGAAGTCTGTTACTGTAGCTACTCAGCGACTAACTGACACATTATTATAGACTAGATGTATCAATGAATAACCAATAAGCCATATGATAGGAAAGTCAACAAAATCTAAGTCATTATAAACAATCAATACGAATAAGACTTAACAAATAACCGCAACAAAAGTTGTCATGGTGATACAATTATATCAATCATGGAGAATTCAAAAATAAATTCATTTTGTATTGAAGTTTTTGCTGAAGGGGTGTTGTCTAGGGGGATAATGAAAGCTTCACAATTAAACCATCAGATAACCCGGTGAACACAACCATATGAAAATATAAAATTAACCGTAAATCTATTGGAATTTATTAATCATACTGCAAATACTACTAGCTTTAGAATTAAAGTAGTAATCGTTTGCATTGGAAAATATTCAACTATAAATTTACAGGTAAGGATTAAAGCTGTCACGAGGTATATCGTGTATAGTGTAGCAAACGGCGCAGCAGATATTCCAACTATGTTAAAAAAGGGATGTAACACCTTTGAAATAGCCAAGTATAACACCTTATACGATTGCAGCATTCCTCTTGCCCCATAATATTCTTTTTTTTATTTCCTTCACGTTCCCAGGGGAACATAGGGCTTCAAGCTAGAGGCTTGAAGTTTCTGTAGCAGTGGTGATTATTTTTATAGGATGGGGTTCCCAACCTCGCCTCTTTACCAGTCTTATTAGTGGTTTAGAGAGGCAAACGAGTGAGTCGGCCGGGGATCGAAGCCCGGACCATGTGCATGGTCGGCGAGCGTCCTAACCGCTGTGCCACCGACACCCCGTAATATAAAATCAACTAATTGCCTGAGGAAATTCAAGTAGTTATTGACCGCCTCCATTTTACCCATACAAGTATACTGAAACGAAAGTGTGGCAAGTTTGATTTGCAATTACTTATTGCCTTGCACACACTGCTTACTGGAATTATTTTTAAACTAACTATTAAAAAAATCAATTTATTATAAATACACTTACGCTGTTGCTTCAATCACATTGTGTAGAATATAAGCGGTGGGTTGTTGAAGTGAACTAATATCTATACTTTCTTCTCGAAATGATTTCAATATATCCAATGTTTGCGGTAAATTGAACATATCACATCTTACACCAGTATAACCAGTTCTGCAGCTGTAATAGGATGGATTAAAAAAACAAAACCAATAGGAGAATAATCTATAGAATACCAAAACGTCATAATGTCAGATAAGGGATGAGAGAAGAATAAACAAACTGATACACATTAGGATGGGATTCTGTAGAGAAGCGTTGAAATTCAACGCGTCACACGCCTAAACAGCACTCAAGAGAGATGTGAATGTATGTAGAGTACGTGTATATCTATCAGATACGAATATGGTAGAACAGAGAACATTTAAATGTAGACTTCATTACTACGCGACATCCATTCTGGGATCAATAATATGCCACTCAGTCAGGTACACCCTGAGGGGCCAGGCTACAGACGAGAGAAACAACCATCCAGTGTTTATATCACTTCGGTCTAGCTAGCAAGTACTCCTGGTTAATGTGAGTGACATACGACTAATCATCTCAGTAAATCAGTAGTATGTGGTTTTATACACTGAAAAATTCAATAAACAGTGTTGTGTGCTAATAATTCTGTCTCAACGATGACTGGACAACAGTTTCTCGCTGTTCCGACAGTCATAAGCAGTGCCCACTAGGAATCGAACCATTGACTATCAGGCAACTAGACCAGACTGTTGACCAACCAATAAGAGTTTCGAAAATAATAAATTGTTTGGTAATGTGTAACATACAACCCAACGATTTGAACCCATAAATAGTCGGAAGCTCATGCGCTGACCTAACTTTATCACTTCACTCTGAATGTTCTCTCAAGCTAAGCTCTCTTACTGAAAGCATCTCAAAATATTTTCCCATTTTGATTGTAAAATAATGGAGAGTGTTTACAACTCAGGTCATATTGCTCTGAGTTGAATGGTTTAAATGCGAATCTTCCTCTGTTCTTCTAGACAATATCTTTAGCGATAACATCAAAAATAAATCAACTTGTAGAATTCTTTATGAAAGAAACAAATATGCTTTTCTACGGAAGTATTCACATGTCTGTATGGATTTAAATCGAATTTATCAAACAGTCAAGAATAAGTTACACGCTGAAGCTTTGGGTGAACAAAACGTTCAATATTACTAAGAAAACTTCTGGGACAATCAGTCAAAGTCAAGATCAACAGGAAAGACTGTCATTTCATTCAAAAAGCCTTTTAAGTTTTACTTCATTCTTAAGTAAACTCTGAATATGTTGTGCTGAAAGACTATGAAAGTTTGTAAAATAAGCAAACCATCTCTGAGAACACACCGACACCAAAAGCCATTCTGATTGACCTTTTATTTCGGAAAACATTTGTTATCTACAAAACTCAAGTTTATGCCTATTTTCACTGGCGACTTGCCCTATTCAGGTAGGTAGTTACCTGGGGTTCTAGTGAGAAGTCGTGACCAGTAGGATGCAGCAGGTCAAGAGCGTCAAGACAAATACTCGCCGAAGACATTGGCTAGCGGTCGCGCTATGTTATAAATTGGCAGAAGTTAGAATTCGTGCGTCATTGGATAGGGTCCGAGTGGTTTAGTGGTCTACGAGCTCGCTAGCCTTGTAACCAGAAGTTCCTGGGTTCGACCCCTGGCGGTGGGTGCGTACTGACGAAGAGTCCTAAGCTAGGATAAAACAGCTCTCCAGTATTCTCAGGTTTTCCAATGGTTCTCTAACTGATGTTAGCTCATGATGAAATTCTGTAACCAGTTATATCTATTTATTGATCCAGTGCAGAAAAAGAATACATTAGACTCATTCTCATGGGATACATGTGCACTAAAGATGTTTTTTTATCCCCTTGTGTTTCAGATGGAACATAGGGTATCAGTTTCTCAACATAATCTCCTTAATCAAACGAGATTTACTTCACTAGATAGTGATTAATTCCATTCGTCTAATCCTTCGTTTGGTGCACAATGAATTCTCAGTCAAGATTCCGATGGGACTACCATAATGGGTGGCTCACCACCATCACAGATTCTTAATTCTTGTTAGATGGGTGGAGATAATCGGTTGGAAGCCCTAGACCTAGGTTTCGTCCTTGTTGGTACTCGTCATCAAGGCGTATCTTCGATCCTGAAGGAACACATGTCCATTTATTGGACACTAGTGACTAGTGTGATGTGTCCAGTCCTATTTTTGATGCAGACTGAATTCTATCTGTCACGTTTGCAATATGGTCACCATTCTATATAGCTCACCGCCATGGTGCACATTGATTTGATGATATTAGATGGTTGGAGGCAACCGGCCACAGGAAGCCTTGGCTACCCTTGGGTTTCGCGCTAGTTGGCACTCGTCAGAAAGGCGTATAATATATCATCAAATATTATGTATATACATAAAATATCATCAAATCAATGTGCACCGTGATGGCGTGCTACCTAGAATGGTGGCCACATTGCAAACTTGACTGATGGAACTCTGTATGCATCAAAGAAAAGACTAGACACATCCCACTAGTTACCAGTATCTAATCAAAGTATCCAATACAGTCCTGCAGGATGTCAATCGCGAGTCCGAACAGCTCAGTGGTATTAACTCTGACTTCAGGTGGCACTGGGTGACACGGGTTCAAATCTCAGAAGGTCACATGAGTTCCTCCGAGGCTGCAGATACTCCTTGCTGACTGCGGAGTTCCAACTAGCACGAAACCTAGGTTCAAGGCTTCCTGCCGATCGCCTCCAGCTATCTAACATCATCAAATTAATGGAACTCATGTCAGTTACGAGATTCGAACCTAAGTCATCTAGTGCCACAGTTATAAATACTACCACTAAGCTACTAGGACTGGACACCGGCCTACTGCATGACTGTCATGGCGACTTCTACGGGATATTAGATAGTAAGTAATATGGTAACATCTCCGAATGCAGCAGTTAGTGACATGGGTTAGGATCTCAAAACAGACGTCAGTTCTCTTAAGGTCGTATAAACGCCTTTCTGACAAGTGGTAAGTAAGCACAAGCGTAGGTTTAACGTTTCCTCCAGACTGCCTCCAACCATCTAAAAATATTTCCTTTGTCTTTCAAGTGTTTTTCCCCAGTTAATTCATAATGTGGAGGGAAGGTATATATATATGGTTACTCCACTTCCTAATTAAAAAAAAGTGGAAAGCCACAAATAATTTGAATTCCTTTCTATAATTATAACCATTTGATGTGAACATGAAAGGTCACGAAAACCATAGACAAGCAGCCAAACGGACACAAATTCATACATACGGAGGTTTATCATGATCAGTGCATTTGCCTACATCAAAGTTGTACATACATACACACACATATATGTGTGTGTACTTCCCTACCTGTACACAGTACACTACTGCCCTACAAGTGCACATACATAGAATTTTTTATCTACAGAAGAGGAATATGGACACCTGTTTATTATCAGATATTATCATTATGAATTCCATATGTTTGGGATTTCTCCTCCTCTTTCATCAAGCTTTCCATCTTGCTTTCGATGTAGACTACATTGAAAGAAGAAACCACACTTGAATATTTCGACGATTATATAATCATCAGAACATGACATATAAGCGAACAATATTGTTTCCAATTAGATCTTCTTCAGGCTTTACTATAATTTACATAGATTTATATATATTTATATATTTCAACTGTTCCTGTGGTTCAAGTTTTAGAGGGCGCACGATTAGGCGGGTTCGTCTACGGGTTCGAGAACATTCACCAGCTTGGTTCAGCAGGGGGGTGATTACATGCATGAAAAGCTTGATTCTGGCACAATTGGTCGATACTGGGCATCGCAGCTTTCAGGGATATATACCGAATTCCGAAATCGTTATCACGTACAGTTCGCTTACGTCTCCTACACATAGCTGAAGCTGTTGCAATGAGATCAACTAAACCGGAACTTTGTATCCATAAAGAACACGTCCAGACGCTGTTCCTACCGTGGCCAAAATTGGATTGATGATTCTTTTTCTCACCAAGAGTGCTTCTTCCCCTTAACCCTCTTGGTTTTTATCCTTCGCTTATTATTACAAATATTATTATTACAATTATTATTAATATAATTCGTCATAGTTTATGGCCTTCATTCAAACATTCTCTCAACACTATCGAATTTTCCATTTATACTATCCGGACTTATTATTAGTGATATTATCTCTTTTCTCAATATATGCCTCCACCCGTCTCATTTCACATATTTGTTATTTCATTATGAACCGAACCTCTCATTGCAGTCTTACTATCTCCTGTTTAACACAGACCACTTTGTACTAGCCACTCACCTGACACCTTTTATAACCTTGAACTGACTTGTCAATTTTCCTACCCCACACTCTACAATTCTATTATGATTAATCACCACCATTGTCTTCCGTTTTACAATATTTTGTAATCGATTTCAGCCTAGGACGATGTTTGTCACACAAATACGACTAATTATTTTGACAGCCCATTGGTACTAATCTGTTATTCTACGTTAAGAAAAAATGTATCCGCCGCATAACTGGCCATTATTGTAACGACAACAAATATTATTTTTATAATTATAAGAACCAGAAGAGAAATTAATTATTGAAAAGATTATTCATCGTTTTTATTGTCTTTTAATTCATAAAATGAAAATATTTCCCACTATCAAATGTTATAAAATTTCTAACCAATGACCTTGATTTTGTGGATCGAATGATATTAATGGTGATGAAAATAGTAATAATAATAATGTGGTAAATGTTTTGAACTTAGTTAATAACGATGATTATAAACCTTATTATCGATATTTTGTTATCATTATAATCATCGTTATTAACTAAGTTCAAAACATTTACCACATTATTATTATTACCATTATTATCATTCGATTCATAAAATCACCGTCATTGGTTAAAATTGCTATTTATAAATCTATGTAAATTAGAGTAAAGCCTGAAGAAGATCTAAGTGAAAACAATATCGCTCGCTTATATATATATCTCTTCTTCTAATATTATGATTTCTAAGAAAATATTCCGTCTTACCTTCTACATCAAGAAGTTAAGACATTCCGGAATAACCCAACGCCTACTCCTACAATT